TATACCACACAACCACACACTTCTATACCACACAACCACACACTTCTATACCACACAGCCACACACTTCTATACCACACCACACACTTCTATACCACACAACCAAACACTTCTATACCACACAACCAAACACTTCTATACCACACAACCACACACTTCTATACCACACAACCACACACTTCTATACCACACCACACACTTCTATACCACACAGCCACACACTTCTATACCACACAACCAAACACTTCTATACCACACAACCAAACACTTCTATACCACACAACCACACACTTCTATACCACACAGCCACACACTTCTATACCACACAACCACACACTTCTATACCACACAACCGCACACTTCTATACCACACAGCCACACACTTCTATACCACACAGCCACACACTTCTATACCACACAGCCACACACTTCTATACCACACAACCACACACTTCTATACCACACAGCCACACACTTCTATACCACACAACCACACACTTCTATACCACACAACCACACACATCTATACCACACAGCCACACACTTCTATACCACACAACCACACACTTCTATACCACACAACCACACACTTCTATACCACACAACCGCACACTTCTATACCACACAGCCACACACTTCTATACCACACAGCCACACACTTCTATACCACACAGCCACACACTTCTATACCACACAACCACACCACTTCTGTACCACACAACCACACACTTCTATACCACACAGCCACACATTTCTATACCACACAACCACACACTTCTATACCACACAACCACACACTTCTATACCACACAACCACACACTTCTATACCACACAACCACACCGCACACTTCTATACCACACAACCACACACTTCTATACCACACAACCGCACACTTCTATACCACACAGCCACATACTTCTATACCACACAACCGCACACTTCTATACCACACAGCCGCACACTTCTATACCACACAGCCACACCACTTCTATACCACACAGCCACACACTTCTATACCACACAACCACACACTTCTATACCACACAACCACACCACTTCTATACCACACAACCACACACTTCTATACCACACAACCACACACTTCTATACCACACAGCCACATACTTCTATACCACACAACCGCACACTTCTATACCACACAGCCGCACACTTCTATACCACACAGCCACACACTTCTATACCACACAGCCACACACTTCTATACCACACAACCACACACTTCTATACCACACAACCACACCACTTCTATACCACACAACCACACACTTCTATACCACACAGCCGCACACTTCTATACCACACAACCACACACTTCTATACCACACAACCACACACTTCTATACCACACAGCCACACACTTCTATACCACACAACCACACACTTCTATACCACACAGCCACACACTTCTATACCACACAACTACACACTTCTATACCACACAGCCACACACTTCTATACCACACAACCACACACTTCTATACCACACAGCCACACACTTCTATACCACACAACCACACACTTCTATACCACACAGCCACACACTTCTATACCACACAACTACACACTTCTATACCACACAGCCACACACTTCTATACCACACAACCACACACTTCTATACCACACAGCCACACACTTCTATACCACACAACCACACACTTCTATACCACACAACCACACACTTCTATACCACACAGCCACACACTTCTATACCACACAACCACACACTTCTATACCACACAGCCACACACTTCTATACCACACAACCACACACTTCTATACCACACAGCCACACACTTCTATACCACACAACCACACACTTCTATACCACACAGCCACACACTTCTATACCACACAGCCACACACTTCTATACCACACAACCACACACTTCTATACCACACAACCACACACTTCTATACCACACAGCCACACACTTCTATACCACACAACCACACACTTCTATACCACACAGCCACACACTTCTATACCACACAACCACACACTTCTATACCACACAACCACACACTTCTATACCACACAACTACACACTTCTATACCACACAACCGCACCACACAACTCGTGGTGTCCGTGCAGTGCCGTGCCGCTCACCACCGGTGCGCGCGGCCGAACCACGCGGCTCCTCTGGCCGGAGTGCGGCGATTGCGGCGGCTGCTGAGCTGCCGGCAACGGTGGGGAGCGGGGACGGACACGGCACGTCACCCGGCAAGGTGGGCGGGGTGGGCGGGCCGCTCTCCCCCTTCACGTCCTGACGGTCACAGCACCGCGCGGCGCGTTCACGTGCTATATACACTACTATACACTACACTATATACTACTATACACTACACTACTATAACTATGCTACTATCACTACGCTACTATCACTACACGATACTCTCCACTACTATAAACTACACTACGCTACTATAACTACACTATATACTACTATACACTACATGATACACTACATTATACACGACTATACATTACACTATCCTCTATGCTATAAACTATGCTATACACCGCTATACACTACGCTTTACACTGCTATACACTACACTATACAATATACAATACACCATACACTCCTTCTGGCTAGCCATTAAACAAAGACGGCCGCCACATCGCGCACCTCCACATGCTCTGCTTCTGCGCCGTCTGGAATGATCTTGCATTCTGGTATTAGGAAGCCACTGGAGCTATGCTGCGCTTTTACATCATTTAGATTGACAAACTCGTTTATTTAGAACCGCTGCTGCTGCTTGTTGTTGTTGTGTTTAGTTTGTTGTCCCTCAATCTTGATTTGAAGCGTTCGTGACTGCAGGAATCCATAGTCTTTGGTTCTTTCGGTAAAGTCACGAAGGTAGAAAAAATAATAGATCACGACATTTCGATGGCACTGCAAGCAATCGTCATCAGGCGGCTGGCTCTGGTGCGAAAGAAGTTAAACGTACCGTATGTACGTACAGCCACGGAACGGTGAAGCACGCACGTGCGTGTGCGCCTGTGTGTGCGCGTGCGTGAGTGCGTGTGAGCGGGGGTGCGTGTGTGTGCGTTGAGTGTGTGTGTGAGTGGGGAGCGGTGGTGCAGCGATTAGCGTGCTTCGCTATGAACCCGGCGACCCGGGTTCGAGTTCGATTCCTGGTCACGGCCAAAACCGGTGACGATTATCTGGACTGGTCCTGGGCCTCCCCTAGGTCGACTCAGCCTCAGATTAGTACCTGGTGCGATGTGTAAACGTCGCCACTGGGGAGACAAAGGCAGCCGGGCATGGTGCTGGCAACCCACCCCCTTGTGTGCCACAGTTTCCGGCCTTCATAGGCGCTGCTACTCGCTAACAGCGCTTTCCCCGACGATTTGTTGAGGCTACATGGGGGACGTTTGTCTTTGTGCAAGCTCTCACCTCAGGCCCCAGAGGGCCAATGGAGGCCGGGGAGCCCAGGCAGCGCGAGTCCGGCGAGGATGCCACCGGTTCCTCCTTCTCCTCCTTCACCTCCGTGTCTGTGAGCGGTAAAGGCGCAGCCCCTGCAACTGCTCGCTCACAGCTCCTGCAACTACTGGCAGGCAGAAGAGGCTCCCCTACAAGAGGCTCCCCTACAAGAGGCCCCCCTACAAGAGGCTCCCCTACAAGAGGCTCCCCTACAAGAGGCTCCCCTACAAGAGGCCCCCCTACAAGAGGCTCCCCTACAAGAGGCTCCCCTACAAGAGACTCCCCTACAGGAGGCTCCCCTACAAGAGACTCCCCTACAAGAGGCTCCCCTACAAGAGGCCCCCCTACAAGAGGCTCCCCTACAAGAGGCTCCCCTACAAGAGGCTCCCCTACAAGAGGCCCCCCTACAAGAGGCTCCCCTACAAGAGGCTCCCCTACAAGAGACTCCCCTACAGGAGGCTCCCCTACAAGAGACTCCCCTACAGGAGGCTCCCCTACAAGAGGCTCCCCTACAAGAGACTCCCCTACAAGAGACTCCCCTACAGGAGGCCCCCCTACAAGAGACTCCCCTACAGGAGGCCCCCCTACAAGAGACTCCCCTACAAGAGGCTCCCCTACAAGAGGCTCCCCTACAAGAGACTCCCCTACAGGAGGCCCCCCTACAAGAGGCTCCCCTACAAGAGGCTCCCCTACAAGAGACTCCCCTACAAGAGGCTCCCCTACAAGAGGCTCCCCTACAAGAAGCTCCCCTACAAGAGACTCCCCTACAAGAGACTCCCCTACAAGAGGCTCCCCTACAAGAGACTCCCCTACAAGAGGCTCCCCTACAAGAGACTCCCCTACAAGAGACTCCCCTACAAGAGGCTCCCCTACAAGAGGCTCCCCTACAAGAGGCCACCCTACAAGAGGCCCCCCTACAAGAGGCTCCCCTACAAGAGACTCCCCTACAAGAGACTCCCCTACAAGAGGCTCCCCTACAAGAAGAACCCCTACAAGAGGCCCCCCTACAAGAGGCTCCCCTACAAGAAGAACCCCTACAAGAGGCCCCCCTACAAGAGGCTCCCCTATAAGAGGCCCCCCTACAAGAGGCTCCCCTACAAGAGGCTCCCCTACAAGAGGCTCCCCTACAAGAGACTCCCCTACAAGAGGCTCCCCTACAAGAAGCTCCCCTACAAGAGGCTCCCCTACAAGAGGCTCCCCTACAAGAGGCTCCCCTACAAGAGGCTCCCCTACAAGAGGCTCCCCTACAAGAGGCTCCCCTACAAGAGGCTCCCCTACAAGAGGCTCCCCTACAAGAGGCTCCCCTACAAGAGGCTCCCCTACAAGAGGCTCCCCTACAAGAGGCTCCCCTACAAGAGGCTCCCCTACAAGAGGCTCCCCTACAAGAAGCTCCCCTACAAGAGACTCCCCTACAAGAGGCTCCCCTACAAGAGGCTCCCCTACAAGAGGCTCCTCTACAAGAAGCTCCCCTACAAGAGACTCCCCTACAAGAGACTCCCCTACAAGAGGCTCCCCTACAAGAGGCTCCCCTACAAGAGACTCTCCTACAGGAGGCCCCCCTACAAGAGACTCCCCTACAAGAGGCTCCCCTACAAGAGACTCCCCTACAGGAGGCCCCCCTACAAGAGACTCCCCTACAAGAGGCTCCCCTACAAGAGACTCCCCTACAAGAGGCTCCCCTACAAGAGGCTCCCCTACAAGAGGCTCCCCTACAAGAGACTCCCCTACAAGAGACTCCCCTACAAGAGACTCCCCTACAATAGGCTCCCCTACAAGAAGCTCCCCTACAAGAGACTCCCCTACAAGAGGCTCCCCTACAAGAGGCTCCCCTACAAGAGACTCCCCTACAAGAGACTCCCCTACAAGAGACTCCCCTACAAGAGGCTCCCCTACAAGAGGGCCCCTTACAATAGGCCCCCCTACAAGAGACTCCCCTACAAGAGACTCCCCTACAAGAGACTCCCCTACAAGAGACTCCCCTACAAGAGACTCCCCTACAAGAGGCCCCCCTACAAGAGGCTCCCCTACAAGAAGCTCCCCTACAAGAGACTCCCCTACAAGAGGCTCCCCTACAAGAAGCTCCCCTACGAGAGACTCCCCTACAAGAGGCCCCCCTACAAGAGGCTCCCCTACAAGAGGCCCCCTACAAGAGGGCCCCTTACAATAGTCTCCCCTACAAGAGACTCCCCTACAAGAGACTCCCCTACAAGAGGCTCCCCTACAAGAGGCTCCCCTAGAGGCAGGCCTTGGGATCCCCTCTGGAGCATCCCCCCCTCCACTCTCGCATGCCTCCACCCCGCGTCACCCCCCCACCACATCACCCCCCCACCCCGCGTCACCCCCCCCCATCACTCTCCCTCCCACCGCGTCACCCCCCACCCTGCTACAAGAGGCACCTCCCTCTCCCCCCCGCCCCCCGCGTGCCCTCACCAGTGAAGATCTGCTTGTAGATGTCGCTCCACGGTTCTGCTACGTCGACAGCAGCAGCAGCCAGCGCCTCCATGTCCAGCTCCACGTCCTCCTCCAGCTGGCGGGGGGGGGGTGTGGGGGGGGTGGTGAGGGGGGTGTGTGGGGGGGTGGTGAGGGGGGGGTGTGGGGGGGGTGTGGGGGGGGTGTGGGGGGGGTGTGGGGGGGGGTGGTGAGGGGGGTGTGTGGGGGGGGTGGTGAGGGGGGGCGCGAGGGGACGACACGCGACACCACGGGACGGCCCGTGACACGCAAGCCCCGAGGTGCGTGAATGTTGGTGTCTCATTGTCCTTCGTGTCAACACCGATGATAGCGATAATTATCTGAACAAACGGCCCTGGTCCTCCCCTAGGTGGACTCAGCCTGAAATGAGTATCAGGATACAAAAGGCGGTCGGGAGTGGTGCTGGTCACCCACCCCGTCATGTGCCGTTCCAGCCTTGAAAGGCACTGCTGCTACTTGCTAACAGCCAAGGCCGTAATTATAATATGTGTATTGGGGGGGACACATCCTCCCCAATATTCAAATATGCTCAAAATGCCCCCCCCAATATATTACTAGAAAAACAATAGCGATGCTATGCAAATAAAAACAACAATTTGCTAAACCTCGGCCACAATATCTGGACTTGTCTTCGTTTTAATTATATGATTGTGGTTATGGTTGTACTTTATTAATCCCTAATCTCTGTAAAAACAGAGCAATGTAATACAATACACTATTATACATTATTATAAAAAAAAATGTCAAAGTCCTTCCCATGTGTTAGTGAATTTTTTAATATTTTAGGCAGGAAATTCGTTTTCAAATTTAGATATTTTTCTGGGTTGGGACCGCCAGACACCCTGGAAGATTTGGTCCCCCGCAATGTTGACTCCATGGCTACGGCCTTGCTAACAGCACTTGCCCCTACGGTCTATTAAGGCTACAAAGTGGGGAGGAAATCTTCGTCTTTGTGTTGTGTGTCTATGGGGAGCGGCGGCGCAGCAGTTAGCGCGCCGCGCCACTAAAGTTAAATTTTCGCTCACGTCTACCGACACCGAGGTTGACTCAGCCTCAAGTTATGAATTGGTGTGGTGAGAATCGCCAATGGGGATACAAAGGAGGCCGGGAGCAGTCCTGGCCGCACCACGCCCCTCGTGTGCGCCACAGTGCCGGCCTTCGTAGACGCTGCTGCTACTCGCTCACAGCCCGTGCCCCAACGGCCTACCTGGGGGACCTTTGTCTGTGCGAGAAGCGGAAGGGGGGTCTATGCAAGATGCGACTGTGGGCCGCCCTCCTTTCTCCCAACTCACTGTGACTGAAGTGGCTACGGCGGAGGGATGTTTAACTCCGCATGCACAGTGATGTACGCAGGCTTTAACTGCTCAGATTTTAGTTCAGTTGCGCCGTGTGTTGGAGTTCAGAGGGAGATGGCTCTCACCGCGGACGACGGTATTCATAACACACGAAGTTTAAGGTGACAATTCTCACAATCAACGTGTCCTGCGTCTTGCTGTCATGCGCACGTCAGCCGGCAACAACATCCCGGTGCTGCTGTTCAGGAACAAGCAGTGGTGGCGGCAGCAGCGGCAGTAGCGGCTGTTGCAGTCACGAAAGCTTTAAATCAAAAATGTTGGAATTTATTTTTGTCTTCACATTGGTTGTTACTTGTCTATTATATCTGCTTCATATGGGGGCTCCACACCCCCCTTGTGGCCGACGAGGCATACCTATGGGGCAAACACACCCACCCCCGCCAGAGTCGCGCCCCTGCGTGCGAGCGAACGAGTGAACGAGTGAGAGATCGAGTGCATGAGCGAGCGATCGAGTGCATGAGCGAGCGATCGAGTGAACGAGTGAGAGATCGAGTGCATGAGCGAGCGATCGAGTGCATGAGCGAGCGATCGAGTGCATGAGCGAGCGATCGAGTGCATGAGCGAGCGATCGAGTGAACGAGTGAGAGATCGAGTGCATGAGCGAGCGATCGAGGTCCACGCACCTCCATGTCCCTCTTGAGCGCGCGGAAAATGTCGTTGAGTTCGTTGAGATCCATCTCCTCCTCCAGATCGAAGTTCCCCATCTCTACATAGAGAGACACAGATGCACCCGGGTAGCCTTTAACACAGACTGTTGGGGCAGTGCTGTTTACGTGCACACACACACACAACAGCAGCAACCACCTATCACCAAGTGGCACTGACAGAGGTTCAGATGGTACCGCTCCAGCTCCTCACAGCGGAGTGGCAGCCTCTCATCCTGTGAGCGAGCATTCAAACATTCCACGTGGCCACCCGCAGTAGTTTCCTGTTTATACATTGCACCAGATTCTCATTTGAGGCTGAGTCAACCTACTGGAGGCCCAGGATCGGTTCAGATAATCGTTACTGGTGTTGGTGGCTGTGAGCGGGAATTGAACTTGGGTCGCTTGGTTCGTAGAGCAGCATGCTAACCGCTGCGCCACCGCTCCCCATCTGGACACTCACTCAGTGAAATCCTGGCACCACATCTGTGTGAGTCTATGGGTCTCTGTGTGATGCTAGGGTCTCTGTGTGAGTCTATGGGTCTCTGTGTGAGTCTATGGGTCTCTGTGTGATGCTAGGGTCTCTGTGTGAGTCTATGGGTCTCTGCTTGAGTCTATGGGTCTCTGCGTGAGTCTATGGGTCTCTGTGTGAGTCTCTGGGTCTCTGCTTGAGTCTATGGGTCTCTGCTTGAGTCTGGGTCTCTGCGTGAGTCTATGGGTCTCTGCGTGAGTCTATGGGTCTCTGCTTGAGTCTATGGGTCTCTGTGTGAGTCTCTGGGTCTCTGTGTGAGTCTATGGGTCTCTGTGTGAGTCTATGGGTCTCTGTGTGATGCTAGGGTCTCTGTGTGAGTCTATGGGTCTCTGCGTGAGTCTATGGGTCTCTGTGTGAGTCTATGGGTCTCTGCTTGAGTCTATGGGTCTCTGCGTGAGTCTATGGGTCTCTGTGTGAGTCTATGGGTCTCTGCGTGAGTCTATGGGTCTCTGTGTGATGCTAGGGTCTCTGTGTGAGTCTATGGGTCGCTGCTTGAGTCTATGGGTCTCTGCGTGAGTCTATGGGTCTCTGTGTGAGTCTCTGGGTCTCTGCTTGAGTCTATGGGTCTCTGCTTGAGTCTATGGGTCTCTGCGTGAGTCTATGGGTCTCTGCGTGAGTCTATGGGTCTCTGCTTGAGTCTATGGGTCTCTGTGTGAGTCTCTGGGTCTCTGTGTGAGTCTATGGGTCTCTGCGTGAGTCTATGGGTCTCTGTGTGATGCTAGGGTCTCTGTGTGAGTCTCTGGGTCTCTGCGTGAGTCTATGGGTCTCTGCGTGAGTCTATGGGTCTCTGTGTAGGTCTATGCGTGTCTGTGTGGGTATCTGGGTCTCTGTGTGAGTATCTGGGTCTCCGTGTGAGTTTATGGGTCTCTGCGTGAGTCTATGGGTCTCTGTGTGAGTCTATGGGTCTCCGTGTGAGTTTATGGGTCTCTGTGTGAGTCTATGGGTCTCTGCGTGAGTCTATGGGTCTCCGTGTGAGTTTATGGGTCTCTGTGTGAGTCTATGGGTCTCTGCGTGAGTCTATGGGTCTCTGTGTGGGTCTATGCGTGTCTGTGTGAGTATCTGGGTCTCTGTGTGAGTCGACAGCCAGGCCACGTGTCTGTCCTGAGGCCCATCACCACCGTCAGGCTCGAGATGCAAATCACCGGGGTCTCGGAATCCCCAGAGGAAGTTTGATGTGAAGGCAGCTGTAGTGGTCACATGGGGGAGAGGGGGGGACGAGGGGATGTCGGGGTGTAGCACGTGACCCCACGGACAACACAGCACCACCACCACCGCTACTACAAAGACAAAGATCCCCCGTGTAATCTTTACAGATTGTTGGGGCAAGTGCTGTTAGCGAGCACCTATGAAGGCCGACACGGCACACGAGGGGGTGGGTGGCCAACACCACTTCCGACCGCCTTTGTCTCCCCAGCGGCGATGTTTACACATCGCACCAGGTACTCATTTGAGGCTGAGTCTACCTAGGGGAGGCCCAGGGCCGGTTCAGATAATCACTATTACTGGTGTTGGCCGTGAGCGGGAATCGAACCCGGGTCGCCAGGTTCGTAGTACAGTGCTCATCGCTACACTACCGCTCCCCACACAACACCACCACTACCACAACCATCACCCCTAACGCCACTACCACAACCATCACCACTACCACAACCATCACCCCTAACGCCACTACCACAACCATCACCACTACCACAACCATCACCCCTAACGCCACTACCACAACCATCACCACTACCACAACCATCACCCCTAACGCCACTACCACTACCACAACCATCACCACAACCATCACCCCTAACGCCATTACCACAACCATCACCACTACCACAACCATCACCCCCTAACGCCACTACCACAACCATCACCCCCTAACGTCACTACCACAACCATCACCACTACCACTACCATCACCATCACCACTACCACCACGACCACAACCATCACCCCTAACGCCACGACCACAACCATCACCCCCTAACGCCACTACCACAACCATCACCACTACCACAACCATCACCACTACCACCACAACCATCCCCCCTAACGCCACTACCAGAACCATCACAGCCACCACCACTACCACAACCACCACTACCACAACCATCACCACTACCACCACTACCACAACCATCACCACAACCATCCCCCCTAACGTCACTACCGCAACCATCACAGCCACCACCACTACCACAACCATCACCACTACCACAACCATCACCACTACCACAAACATCACCACTACCATCACCACTACCACCACTACCACAACCATCACCACTACCACCACTACCACAACCATCACCACTACCACAACCATCACCACTACCACAACCATCACCACTACCACAACCATCACCACTACCACCACTACCACAACAATCACAGCCACCACTACCCCGAACAGCTCATCTCAGGTAACACTGTACAGTAGTTACCCCTGTGTGTGTGTGGTTACCCTGTGTGTGTGGTTACCCTGTGTGTGTGGTTACCTTGTGTCTGTGGTTACCCCTGTGTGTCTGTGGTTACCCCTGTGTTTGTGTGTGGTTACCCCTGTGGGGTGTGTGGTTACCCCGTGGGGTGTGTGGTTACCCCTGTATGTGTGTGGTTACCCCTGTGTTTGTGTGTGGTTACCCCTGTGTGTGGTAACCCCTGTGGGGTGTGTGGTTACCCTGTGTGTGTAGTTATCCTGTGTGGTGTGTGGTTACCCCGTGGGGTGTGTGGTTACCCCTGTATGTGTGTGGTTACCCCTGTATGTGTGTAGTTACCCTGTGTGTGGTAACCCCTGTGGGGTGTGTGGTTACCCTGTGTGTGTGGTTACCCTGTGTGTGTAGTTACCCTGTGTGGTGTGTGGTTACCCCTGTGGGGTGTGTGGTTACCCTGTGTGTGTGTGGTTACCCTGTGTGTGTGGTTACCCCTGTGGGGTGTGTGGTTACCCTGTGTGTGTGTGGTTACCATGTGTGTGGTTACCCTGTGTGTGTGGTTACCCTGTGTGTGGTTACCATGTGTGTGGTTACCCTGTGTGTGTGGTTAACCGTGTGTGGTTACCCTGTGTGTGGTTACCCTGTGTGTGTGTGGTTACCCCTGTGTGTGTGGTTACCCTGTGTGTGTGGTTACCCCTGTATGTGTGGTTACCCCTGTGTGTGGTTACCCTGTGTGTGTGGTTACCCCTGTGTGTGTGGTTACCCTGTGTGTGTATAGTTACCCTGTTTGTGGTTACCCCTGTGGGGTGTGTGGTTACCCTGTGTGTGTGTGGTTACCCTGTGTGTGTGGTTACCCTGTGTGTGGTTACCATGTGTGTGGTTACCCTGTGTGTGTGGTTAACCGTGTGTGGTTACCCTGTGTGCGGTTACCCTGTGTGTGTGTGGTTACCCCTGTGTGTGTGTGGTTACCCTGTGTGTGTGGTTACCCCTGTATGTGTGGTTACCCCTGTGTGTGGTTACCCTGTGTGTGTGGTTACCCTGTGTGTGTGGTTACCCCTGTGTGTGTGGTTACCCTGTGTGTGTATAGTTACCCTGTTTGTGGTTACCCCTGTGGGGTGTGTGGTTACCCTGTGTGTGTGTGGTTACCCCTGTGTGTGTGGTTACCCTGTGTGTGTATAGTTACCCTGTTTGTGGTTACCCCTGTGGGGTGTGTGGTTACCCTGTGTGTGTGTGGTTACCCTGTGTGTGTGGTTACCCCTGTATGTGTGGTTACCCCTGTGTGTGTGTGTGGTTACCCCTGTGTGTGTGTGTGGTTACCCCTGTGTGTGTGGTTACCCTGTGTGTGTGGTTACCCTGTGTGTGTGGTTACCCCTGTGTGTGTGGTTACCCGTGTGTGTGTGGTTACCCCTGTGTGTGTGTGGTTACCCCTGTGTGTGTGTTTACCCCTGTGTGTGTGGTTACCCCTGTGTGTGTGTGGTTACCCCTGTGTGTGTGGTTACCCGTGTGTGTGTGGTTACCCCTGTGTGTGTGTGGTTACCCCTGTGTGTGTGTGGTTACCCCTGTGTGTGTGTGGTTACCCCTGTGTGTGTGGTTACCCGTGTGTGTGTGGTTACCCTGCGTGTGTGTGGTTACCCGTGTGTGTGGTTACCCTGCGTGTGTGTGGTTACCCTGCGTGTGTGGTTACCCTGTGTGTGTGGTTACCCCTGTGTGTGTGGTTACCCGTGTGTGTGTGGTTACCTCTGTGTGTGTGGTTACCCCTGTGTGTGTGTGGTTACCTCTGTGTGTGTGGTTACCTCTGTGTGTGTGGTTACCTCTGTGTGTGTGTGGTTACCCGTGTGTGTGTGGTTACCCGTGTGTGTGTGGTTACCCTGCGTGTGTGTGGTTACCCTGCGTGTGTGTGGTTACCCTGCGTGTGTGTGGTTACCCTGCGTGTGTGTGGTTACCCTGTGTGTGTGGTTACCCCTGTGTGTGTGGTTACCCCTGTGTGTGTGTGGTTACCCCTGTGTGTGTGTGTGGTTACCCCTGTGTGTGTGTGGTTACCCGTGTGTGTGGTTACCCTGTGTGTGTGTGGTTACCCTGCGTGTGTGTGGTTACCCGTGTGTGTGTGGTTACCCTGTGTGTGTGGTTACCCTGTGTGTGTGTGGTTACCCTGCGTGTGTGTGGTTACCCGTGTGTGTGTGGTTACCCTGTGTGTGTGTGGTTACCCTGCGTGTGTGTGGTTACCCCTGCGTGTGTGTGGTTACCCTGTGTGTGTGGTTACCCTGTGTGTGTGTGGTTACCCTGCGTGTGTGTGGTTACCCGTGTGTGTGTGGTTACCCGTGTGTGTGTGTGGTTACCCCAGTCGTCCACACCCAGGTGGTTGGGGGCTAAGAACGACTCCATGGCTGGAGCCGGCCAGTCCAGAGGGTGACGAGGAGCAGAGGGCGAGTGAATGAGTGACGAGGCGAGCGAGTGAATGAGTGACGAGGAGCAGAGGGCGAGTGAATGAGTGACGAGGCGAGCGAGTGAATGAGTGACGAGGCGAGCGAGTGAATGAGTGACGAGGCGAGCGAGTGAATGAGTGACGAGGCGAGCGAGTGAATGAGTGACGAGGAGCAGAGGGCGAGTGAATGAGTGACGAGGCGAGCGAGTGAATGAGTGACGAGGCGAGCGAGTGAATGAGTGACGAGGAGCAGAGGGCGAGTGAATGAGTGACGAGGCGAGCGAGTGAATGAGTGACGAGGCGAGCGAGTGAATGAGTGACGAGGAGCAGAGGGCGAGTGAATGAGTGACGAGGCGAGCGAGTGAATGAGTGACGAGGAGCAGAGGGCGAGTGAATGAGTGACGAGGCGAGCGAGTGAATGAGTGACGAGGCGAGCGAGTGAATGAGTGAAGGAGGGAGGCGAACGAGCGAGTGAATGAGTGAAGAAGGAGGCGAGCGAGCGAGTGAATGAGTGAAGAAGGAGTGAGGCGAGCGAGTGAATGAGTGAAGAGGGAGGCGAGCGAGCGAGTGAGGCGGCGCTAGGGACACGTCAGTGCCGTGCGGCCACCGCTTCCGGGTCGTGACGTCACGCGGTCGAGCCGGAAATAGAGCGCGAGCACGTGACCCGCACATCAACAACAACCGCCATTCGCCACTGGCGGTGACGTCACCACGACGCTTGTGCCAGGCTAAGTGCACGTTGAGGCTGCCACGTGAAGTGTCGAACGCCCGCTCGCAGGAGGTCACGGGGCAGACCCAGCAGGTGCCACGGGTCGACTGACTGAGATGACCGAGATGACTGGCTGATGCACCACCTGTGCCCCCTACTGTGCCAACTTGCTGTGCTTTAGCCACCCGGCGCTCCGCTCGTTGTTGTGAGCGTCGCTCCTCCGCCCTCCGTTGTTGTTGGAGGGCGACTGCCTCCAACTGCCCAGTAGCGTCCTTCACGAGCCTCCCCCACAGAGGCCGATCTTGACACCGCTGGTACCAGTCATCGGCAAGTCCACTCAGCTCCACGTCCTCCTGTACCACATCACTCCATCTCTTCTCTAGCCCGTGCCGTGCCCTTTTAGCCCCCTCGATCCGGCCGAACAAAAGCTGTTTAGGCATGCGGTGGCTGGGCAAGCGGGCTACATGACCCAGCCAACGCAGCCTTGCCTGCCGGAGGAGCTCACTGATGGGACTTTGCCCAGATCTTTCAAGGATTTGTGAGCTCCTCACACAATCCAGCCTGGTTAAACCCAGGATGGATCGTAGGCAGGCCAGCCTAAATGTTTCCAACTGGCGAAGATGTTCCATTAGGGGTGTCCACGTTTCGCAAGCGTAGAGAAGGGAGGGAATGACCGTGGCCGAGAAGACCTGAAGCTTCGTGCGGAGCGACAGACCAGGTAGCTTCCACACAGCGTTACGCAACCGATGAAACGATATTGCCGCTCGACTGATTCGGAGTGAGACCTCTGGTGTTAAACTGGAGCCAGGTATGGGAAACTCCACTCTCTCCATCACCGATTGGGAGTTGTGGGGGTGGAGCATCCGATGGTACAAAATACCCAGGCAGGTGCTTGGTTTTGGTGGGGCTGATGGTAAGGCCCCACCTTTTAGTGGCACGCTCCAGTCTCAGCAGCAGCGTCTCCAACTCCTCCTTTGAATGAGCAGCTATTACCAAATCATCGGCATACATAACGTTGTTGACCAATAGGGAGCCATCCCTTTATCGCACCCGGGCATCGATCAGCCTCCCATTATATCTATGTAGAGGTGTTACAGGAGGGCGAACAAACACACCAGGAGTGGTTATGCCCGCACGCGGAATGGTACTTACATCCACGTCCGCATCGTTTAGCCCTGGGGGGCTGAAACGACGCTGTGACCCCCCACGGCCCCACCCCTCGGGGGGGGGGGGAGTTGCGATATAAGGCGTCGAGCCGGTGGGCTCGGGGTTCAGTGTTCAGCTTAAACCAGTGAAGCAAGAAGACCGGCTAGATAGGCCCTGGGACTCCCCTGGATCGCCGTCCTTCTAAGGACCGACCAGGGCAAGCCAGCGGCGTGGCCCCGAGAGCCCAGAGCCGATGCTCTTGTAAGAGCCGGTCTGGGGACTCAGGGTGCCGTGATCCCAGCTTGGCTAGAGCTGGATCAGCTAGCCTCCCCTAGCTCTGTAGTGGAGGACCTGGGAGTAGGCTAGCCGGGACAGAGATTGTGGGACCTCCCTGTTATACGGGTGAAGGGGCCGATACCCCTTCGAGTGTTGTATACCTTGGCCTGTATAGAGTGGAACGGTTAATAAATAAGTGTGCCTCCGACTACGTCGTCCACGTCTCTCTTGAACCTACTACATCTACACTGGTACACACATACACACACACATACACACACATACACACACACATACACACACATACACACATACACACAAAGACAAAAATCCCCTGTGTAGCGAGCCCCTATGAAGGTCGGCACGGCACACGAGGGTGTGGGTGGCCAGCACCACGCCCGGCCGCCTTTGTCTCTAGTTGCGATGTTTACTACACACCACACCAGGTACTCATTTGAGGCTGAGTCGACCTAGGGGAGGCCCAGGACTGGTTCAAATAATCGTCACCAATTGGCCGTGAACAACAACACATACACAACACCAACAGATACATAACAACACAACACATACACAACGACAACACAACACATACACAACACCAACAGATACACAACAGCACATACACAACACCAACAGATACACAACAACACACACCAACACATACACAACACCAACAGATACACAACAACACATACACAACAACACACACCAACACATACACAACAACACATACACAACAACACATACACAGAAACAACACATACACAACACCAACAGATACACAACAACACACACCAACACATACACAGCAACAACACATACCAACAGATACATAACAACACAACACATACACAACAACACACACCAACACATACACAGCAACAACACATACCAACAGATACACAACAACAACACATACTCTTTGGTTCTTTCGGTAAAGTCACATAGGTATAAAATAAAATTAATCAATCACAACAACACACCAACAGATACACAACAACAACACACACCAACACATACACAACAACATACACCAACACATACACAACACAACAACAAATACACAACAACGACACACACCAACACATACACAACAAGAACACACCAACACATACACAACAACGACACACGACACATACACAGCAACACACACCAACACATACACAGCAACAACACATACACAACACCAACAGATACATAACAACACACACCAACACATACACAGCAACACATACACAACAACACATACACAACACCAACAGATACATAACACATACACAACAACACACACCAACACATACACAGCAACAACACATACCAACAGATACACAACAACACAACACATACACAACAACACACACCAACACATACACAGCAACAACACATACCAACAGATACATAACAACACAACACATACACAACAACACACACCAACACATACACACCAACAACACATACACAACACCAACAGATACATAACAACACACACCAACACATACACAGCAACACATACACAACAACACATACACAACACCAACAGATACATAACAACACACACAACAACACACACCAACACATACACAGCAACAACACATACCAACAGATACACAACAACACAACACATACACAACAACACACACCAACACATACACAGCAACAACACATACACAACACCAACAGATACATAACAACACAACACATACACAACAACACATACACAACACCAACAGATACATAACAACACAACACATACACAACAACACACACCAACACATACACAACACATACACAACAACACACACCAACACATACACAGCAACAACACATACCAACAGACACATAACAACACAACACATACACAACAACACACACCAACACATACACAGCAACAACACATACCAACAGATACACAACAACAACACATACTCTTTGGTTCTTTCGGTAAAGTCACATAGGTATAAAATAAAATTAATCAATCACAACAACACACCAACAGATACACAACAACAACACACACCAACACATACACAACAACAGCATACACCAACACATACACAACACAACAACAAATACACAACAACGACACACACCAACACATACACAACAAGAACACACCAACACATACACAACAACGACACACGACACACAACAACAGATACACAACAACAACACACACCAACAGATCTATCCTGTCTGTGCCCCAATCGTCAGATCCAACTGACCACCAGGTGGTGATCAGTTGACAGCTCTTCCCCTCTCTTCACCTGAGTGTCCAGAACATGCGGCCTTAGGTCCGATGATACAACTATCAAGTCAATTATTGACCTTTGGCCCAAGGTTCTCTGGTACCAAGTACACTTATGAGCATCCTTGTGTTTGAATATGGTGTTTGTTATTGACATTCCAAGACTCGCGCATAATTCCAATGATATCTCACCATTCGGGTTCAGATCAGAGGGGGGGGGGGCATTCCTCCCAATCACGCATCTCCATGTATCTCCATCATTTCCCACGTGAGCATTGAAGTCGGTAGGCAGCAATCTTTCGAGAACCGCACCCGTCCCCAAGAAGGCGAAATACTCTGAACTGCTGTTTGGTGAAGACCCGATGTCTCATTGGGGCAACCCTCTCATCCACTGGCACAAACTCCAACTGAACAGCGCCAAGCCAGGTGCTTATGAGTATCCCCACACCTTGTCAGGGTTATTCTGGAATAGGAGAGAGACCACCCCCAATAGAGAAGGTTGGTTGCAGTGCCAATGCTGTGTGTGTAGGTGAGGCCCACGATATCTAGTCGATACCTTTCCACCAGCTCCGGCTCCTTCCCCCCCCCCAGTGACGTGACATTCCACGTCCCAATAGCTAGTGACCATTGCCCAGGTCCAGTCCGTCCGAGACCATCCCTCCCCCTGTCATACTGGCATTGCACCCGCCCCTCACCATTCACCCAAAGGATGGTGGGCCAACAGGACGGCGCTACATAGCCATTTCGGGCTGAGCTCGACCGGGTTACGTGGGTCACCCAGCCACCAG